CACCCTTACAATAAAGGAGCATCCAGGGCAAACCCAATCCACAACGAAGGCTCAGAACAAGTCAACGGTTTTCTCTTATTGAGCCCTCCTGGATTCTTCCCCCTCTCGTCCCTCTTCCCCTTCCCCACGACAACTTTTAAATGCATGCAGGGAACTCACTGTACGCTTGCTTGCTTCATACTTGACATTTGCTAACGCACCTGACATTTCTTATATTTCATTCCTGATTATTTTCAGGTCGTTATTTTTGGCAAGCCGAAAGAGATTTTCAAACATCCCAATTTTCATTTGCCTGTGGCTTAGCCATGGCCAGGAAAACCCACATCAGAGGAAGGCAAGACCACCACCAGCAGCGCTTTCCAGGTGGACTTTGGACAGTTGAGGTGTTGCAGGGAGGAAGGCAGCCAATGGAGAAGTCATGCTTAACTTCACCCAGTCCTGTCCACAGGTATTATGACTTTTCACCGTTGATCCCCTTCTGCTCGGCGAGTTCCGAAGCTGGCATGAAGCAGGCAATTAAAACAGAGAACGTGCCGAGGAAAATGGAAAGAAGCGCCATGAGCTGTGTGTCCAACAGGTTGCTTCCATCTTGCGTTTGGCGTTTCAAAAATAAAAGTAGCCACCGTTTCATGTGCAAAGAAAAAGTGCTTCTCTGGTACATTGGTCTCCAGAGCAAGGGTGGGATGAAAACCTGAACACTGGACCATCTGCGATCCATTAGACTTGAATATATTCCAGTGTAACCAATTGCAAATGTAGTTGGCTTCAACTAAAGTTTCATTGACCTTAGCAGAGTTTAATCACAGTTCATCATTCTAACCATTGTCTGTCCACTGCAGGATGAAGGCTTCCTCCACATGTTTCCAACCGATACGGTCTTGAGCTTTCTTTCGCCAACTGGGCCCGCCATACTTGTTGATGTCATCGATCCATCTTGTTCTAGGTCTCTCTTTCGATCAAGAGGGACCCATTCTATGACTGCCTCGGTCCTTCTGCCCTCAGTTCCTCTTGCTTTGTGACCGTCCCATTTCCATTTCCATTCTTTTACTCTCTTGATGGCATTGTATACTTTTGTTTGTTCTCCAATCCGCGTGCAGGTCTTCCTATCTTGTCTTGTGATGCCGATCATGGGTCTTTCCATGGCTCCTTGCACAAGTAATGACAATTATCACCTTCAAACCCAAGCCAAAAATGCAGAATTTTTCTTTTAAGGAAGCATCCGTATATCCTTGGTAGCAATCTTGTACTGTTTTAGATCGTCTGATTCACCGACTTCAGTGAGGATTAGATTTAAGCAGCTTGGCCGAATTGCAGGAAGCAGTTTTTATCCCTAGCTTTTGGTGCATCCAGTAATAAAAGGAGACGGGCACGATCCAGGTGGAGATTTTAAATCTCCCAGGCCTTATAACCAAAACTAATCCCAACGTATAGTATGTGTAAAAGCCTCATTGCAATCCATGAATTGTAGAACAGTTTTCCAAGGGCTGAATTGGGCCCGATAACATACAAACCTCTTACAGGTTTTCCTCGAATTACGGCCACAATCGAGTCGCAAATCTTTTGTTGCTAAGTGAGACGTTTCTTAAGTGAGTTTTGCCCCATTTTACGACCCTTCTTGCCACAATTGTTAAGTGAATCACTGCAGTTGATAAGTTAGTAACTCGGTTGTTAAGTGAATTTGGCTTCCCCCGTTGACTCTGCTCGTCAGAACGTCGCAAAAGGGGATCACATGATGCCGGGACATTGCGATCGTCATAACTGTGAGTCAGTTGCCAATTGTCTGAATTTTGATCACGTGACCCCGGGGATGCGGCAACGGTCGTAAGTGTGCAAAACGGTCATAAGTCCCTTTTTGCAGTGTTTGTTGTAACTTGGAACAGCCACTAAATGAACTGTTCTAAATCGAAGATTCCCTGTATTCTCTATGAGATTAGATTAGATTAGATTATTATAAGCAGCTGCGTTGCTAATAAACACAAGATCTGCATTGTAAATAGGGTAAGGGAACAGTCGTAAGCGTGATCTCGATGGTCAGTTTTTAAAGGGAACTCTTTTACCTGGCAAAGCCATCCGTGGTCACGCTGATTTATCTTTCCGCTATTTGTACGGAATAACAAACAGTCCTATTGGGAAGGATAAATATAGCCATTTAATTAATATTTGCTTGTTCCCATGGTTTTACTGCCCCAGATTGCTAACTCATTGCCATTTTATTGTGTACAAATAATATTCCTACATTCATATCTGGCTTTAAATGTCAGTATATTACTACTACTACTACTACTACCATTACTATTCGGCAACTCTTTTTGTTTCTTTTTAGCATGAACAGCGTACCAGAGGCTGCCTTTGAATCGCTAACAATAGTGCCGTACTGAGAGTCTAAAATGTTCCTAATGGATGCTGGAGTGGGAACATCATGGCCTAATGGTAGCTACAATTACATGGGCTGTCTTCAGATGTTGCAGTATCAGGTGCAGAATAGAACAAACCAGCACCTCCTCCTGTTAAATGGATAGCAACTGGCATGACTCATCGGCCGTGCTGGAATTATCCAAACAGAGCATTATATGTTTCCTGCAGGAGAACTGATCTAGCAGAATGTTCCCTACTGAAAGAAACTGTATATTGTGGAAGAATGCTAGCTCAGTAGCTAAAGCAAGGGTCCCCAACCACCGGGCCACAGCCTGTTCAGAACTGGTCCATGCAAGGGGTGGGTGAGTATGCACCCACGCAGCTCCACTTGTGCGAGCAGTGGGCACTCACACTCCACACAAAGCTCCACTTGCATGAGCGATGGGCACTCCTGATCACACACAAAGCTCCACTTGTATGAGCAGTGGGCACTCACACACACAAAGTTCCACTTGCATGAACAGTTGGCACTCCTGATCATGCACAAAGGTCCACTTGCATGAGCAGTGAACACTCACACTCACACACAAAGCTCCACTTGCATGAGCGGTGGGCACTCACACTCACGCACAAAGCTCCACTTGCATGAGCGGCAGGCACTCCTACCCACACCTGAAGCTCCATTTGTGTTAGCTTGCCCAAATAGAACTGTATGCACACCCACTTGCACAAATGGAACTGTGCACACTCATCTGCACACCTACCACTCACACGGAACAACCCTGTCTTCCCCCTGCCCCGGCCAGGCCACCAAGCTGGAAAGGTTGGGGTCCACTGAGCTAAAGCATTGGTCATTTGGATTCGCCAAATTGTTGCAGTATGGACTGTTCAGGACCATGCCCCTTTTCAAGACACTCCATTCCTTACATTGCTAATGGTCTTTATGATCTATTTCCCATCTTTCAATTATCAACCACTATTTCATGGTCACTGACTGTGCTCAGAAAAGCACGGCCTTCCTTGTCTCCACTGCATACATTTCCAAAGTCATGGATGCTTAAGATTTCCAAATGCGGAGATTAAATGCTATAGCAATTATGACTTCTAGAAGTAATTGCAATCTCTACCTAAAAGAAGATTATCAAGTCGCTACTCAAGTGAAATCAATCTAGATTCAAATAAACACAACACAGCTGCTTGATTTCATATTCTGGTATGCAAGCATGCCTAATATGAGTTTTTAGAAGCCAATCGTGGAAAAATATGATCATTCTCATATCCTAATGATGAGCATCTCAGTTGTACAGGGCCATATTATGTTAGATAGTCCTTTTTCTTAACCCAGTGAGGCTCTTATGTTCTCACAGAGATCGCCTGACACTATCAAATCTTTCTTGCAAAGCCCCTGAGAACTAATCTTCTTCTAACATGGCTATCCCAAAGATGAAGATGTTGCAGCTGGGAAATTGTTTTGGGAAAAGATAGGACGGATATTGGCCTGTTTCAGGCTTTCAAACTCACACAGACAGCAGCGAGCTGAGAATAGCAATTTACTCAAGGCTGAGTAGATAACGGCAGATAAGGGAAGGAATGTAAATCAGCAAAATCTCTTGGGAAAAAAATCTTGCCTGGGTGGTTTTGCTTTCAACAGGCGCACACAGAAGAATAGTCAAAATCCAGTCCAAAGTTCAAAAAGCCAAGTCAAGTTTGTCAAGCACTCCAAGGTCAGAATTTCACAAACATTTCAATGTTGCAAGGTAGGTAAACCATTTTCCTCCAATCCTTTTGGAATACAATTTTCGCACACCTTTACCTTCGGACATTTTGTCTGAGAACTTTAGAAATGGTCATCTAAATCTCTCTGGAAGGTAGTAAATTGAAGAAAGGTCTCCTATTTTTTTTTTAAATGACCCTGTAATCTCTTGCTTCAAGGTGGGATCAGGGCGACTGAGTGGAGCTGAGCATTTACTGGCTGGATGCCCTTCCTGATACCTACACAGATTTCACAGTAGATACTTTCTTTTTGCACCCTGATAGAGAAATATCTGTTGCTGCCTAGGATTGAACTCTCAACCTTCCGAATAGGAGGCAAACGCCTTAACCTCTAGGCCACCACACCAGTCAAAGAAAGGTCTCTTAGTATATCGCAGTAATTAGAAATTTTAAGGAAAAATGCAACTGAAGTCCATCCTTTATCAGTTGTGACCTTGTTGGAGTCACAATCTGGATCAGACTTATCTACATTGATAGAAAACTTTCCAGTCTTTCTGGTATGACTTCCCCCCCCCCACTCCCCAGTGTAAATCATACATTTGACTCTTGCTGTGGATTGTGACCACAAGTGGGTTAAATTAAACAAGCAAATAAACCCTGTCCTTCCCCCGTTGGCTTTTCTTCTTTTCTCCAACAGCACATCTGCAACCATTTACTCTTTAGGTTAATCAGTCTATTGATTAATCCATTGCAGCTCTAATGGGTAATAAATCAGCTTAAACAAACACAACCCTTTTCCTTTTAACCTCCCTTTGAAAGCATAAAATCCCATTAGGGGACTGCCCCAAGCATAAGTGACGACGCCTTCAGAACCTTTGTGACTTATTTGGGGCATAAAGACACCTCTCTGGTGTTGCAACAGGCATATGTTCAGGCTCATTTTTCAATGACTGAGCAACTGAAGCAACAGCCGTCCTGAACAGGGAACTCACGCCAAGCGTGACAGCCAGCTACCCAACCATGGAAGAGTTCAACCAACCGGCGAGCAAGGCAAGGGGGCCAAGGGAGACTCCTGGAGAACCCAAATGAGCAGGTTAGCTGTTGGATGCCCAGCTGACATTGACACAAGAGGACAATGTTTTCAAGGGCTGTTGCTGATGGCGGTGATAAATGACAGCGATTTCTGGAGCTGAAAAAAAAGTCAAGTGAAGATAAAGGATAATAAATGGAGAAGC